TCATTTTAAAGATATGAAAATAAAATAACACAAGAAATATAGGAAACAGAAGCATTGGTTGAAAGTTTGGTGAAGCCAGTGACTCTTCACATTTTTAGAAACACAGTAAAGCACTATTGTAAAAGTATAAATTAAAAAAAAATGTTTAACAATGTTTAAGAAAAACAAATTTAGGAACTCACATAAAGGTAGAAATTGTATGTATGTATATTTATATAATGTATGTTTCTGTCCTCTCATTCTTTGGATCAGTTGATTTCTTCTTGCTTAGGTTTGATTTATTTTCCGGTAACATACCAACCATTTTACTGAAGCAAATCAACTGTACGATTATTTTACAAAATGTATGTTCTAATAATAATATTGGATTTCTGAAGGAAATTATGTCATGAACGACGGAATCATGTAACATTACGTGATAATGAAAGTGATTATTATATGTCTAATTCACTTTGAAAACATTATTAAAACAATACAATGTATATTAAAAATGAATACCTTCAGTTAACCCAAATATGTTTATACACACAGAGAGTGGCACATACACTAATTATCATTACTACAATAAAATTCCAGAATATAAAATGCAGAAGAATTGAGCAATTCATTGACAAGTGACTTTTCCAGTGGAAAAATACTACCCTTTTAACCAAACTAAAAGCAAAACAATATTTTTCAAATTTAACCACCCAAAGTTCTTATTATCTTTCTTGCTTCAAGATTTTTTTCCATGAGCCTGATAAACAAAACAAGTATGGAATCAAAGATACACATCAATAAATGTAAGAACAAAAATAATAAGTAAATAAATAAATCTTTCCAAAGAAAATATAATTTCCTTATGAAGAGAAACTATTATTAGCAAAGAGATATTATATAATTTTATATTGGTGATTTGTTTTTATTCACTTTGTGGAAACTCCAGCCTTCTTCAACTGTAAGAAATTATCACACAACAATCACCATCATAGTAACAAAACTTAAGTCACTCAGAAATGTTCATCATTTCAATTGAGTTAAATATGCTAATGGAAAAAGTGGATTAGTTACTCAGCATACAGATCTACAAAACTTTGAATTTCAAAGAGGCTTCCTTTGGCAAGTGTACTGAAAATTTTCTAAATTTGTTATGATTTTTTTTTCCAGTTCTTTAACTGTTTTCTTACTGCCAGATTTCTCTACTGGGATCAACAGAGTCTGGCCCTAGCTTAAGTTGTTTTCTGTTTAGTTTGGAGTTTTTTCCTTGTTTTTTTTTTTTTTTTTTTCTCTCATTCTACTTCACAACCAAACCAACCTCCACCTCTGTCTCCATTCCATAGATTTTCTTTTCAAGATTGAGAAAACATTACCAAAATTTTCACACATATGCACAAGCACACACACACACACACACACACACACATCTCTATAAAGTAGTCAATTACTTTGCTAGTTCAGGACACTATTCATAATTCTCCAGCTGTCCTTTATATATTAATATCTGTGACATTATCAAGAAGCAATGTTTTAAGGCATTTCTGCATCTGCCATATTCCATATTTTATTAGAGTTATCCATCCCTTCCTCTGACTCTCTGCCCTCCCTCTTCTGATCTATGTTCAATTTCGGATTTTTCATTGCACTGTTAAACATTTAAATAAATGCACATTAAACATTCAAATGAATGCATGCTAACAATTTCAATAGTATTGAACATGTTCATGAATGTGAATATTAAGAACTTGTGCATCATTGGAAATGCATATATTTGAGAGCTTGAAACAGAAGAATCATCACCGGGTTGAATCAAACACAGGTTATACAGTTATCAATAAAATATAGACATTCACTCCTTACCTGCTTAATTGCATGATGACCAACAAATCTAAATAACAAGCCAGAAAAAAAAAGTCCCCAGAATCTCAATCAGCTAAATCATCTATCTTCCACGCTGCTGTGACAGTTTTATACCCTGGTGCTATCTCCTTTGCTTAGAAGCATTTGACTGGCCAGAGTATCTGTAAAGTGATGCTAGGGTTAATTTGTAACCCCAGTCACCTCTCTCTCTCTCTCTCTCTCTCTCTCTCTCTCTCTCTCTCTCTCTCTCTCTCTCTGTCTCTCTCTTTCTGTCTCTCTGTCTCTCTCTCCTCAAAAATCAGCCAGCTGGCATCTCCCAGGGTTGGAAACACAGGTTATATCTTCAGAAGAAGACCTACCCAGTGTTTCCCAGCTCATTACCTCTAGAAGGAGGGCCCTGCTGGAGGTGGAGGGGTCTTCCTGGACCTGTAGCAGAGTGAAAGCCTCTCTGGTTCAAGTCTTGGAGACTAGGAGAATAACCCTCAGAAATTTAAACTCTATGGTACAGTTAGGCTGCGGGAGCGGCAGTGACTGTGGCCAAGAAGCAAGCACCACCTCCTCTTGGGTAGCTTGGGGGTGGAGTGGGGGAGGGTGCCCAGATGCAGGTCCTCCCAACTGCTCCCCCCCCCCCACGCCCGCCACACTTACACTCGCAAAAAGGGAAAAACAGTCTAACATTACAGAATAAGCTAGAACCCCCCCCCCCCCCACGCCTCGCATCCAGAGCTTTGCTTTTAACTACCTCCTCGTAGTCCACGCTGAAGGTTCAAGTTGAAATCCAACTCTTTCCTTTGCCCTGCAGCCCTCCTGATTGTTGGCACTTGGAGAAGGGAGTAAAAGATAGACAGCAATACCTCACGGTGGGGTCTAGAAGTCAATCAGCAATCCCAAACCCTACTAAGCAGCAGGATGGAAAGAGCTGTACGGATGGCCCTTTTAAAAAGCCATGGGTGCTGTTGGCGAAAATTGCAGAAAGGGGGTGAAAAGAGATTCCAAAAATCCCAAGTCTGTCCTCCAGTATAGAAGAGGTTATTGGTCCCGGGAAGCGTTGGGAAGCGTGTGTTCTGCGACCATGAACCCTCTCTCCCTCGCGAACCCCCACTGTGGTGGGCTGCGAATGAATGCCCACCGCCGGCCGGCACGCGTCCTACTCCTCCCGCCGCAGGGGCTGAGCGGGGAGTCTGCGCCACCGGGTCAGGAGGGGACAGCGTCGCCACCGCGCGGGTCGTTCCCACATCCAGCGCCCAGCCTGCGGTCAGCCGGCCAGCCAGGATGGGGGAGCCCTCGGGTTCCCTGAGCCCCGGTGGTTTCCGAAGGTGTAGCCAGGCGCTGCTGTGAAATCTCCAGGCATAGTCGCCTGTTGATCGCCCTCGGGTATAACGCATTGGTTGTTGGCTACAAGAGCCTCTCTTGCCCAATTTCCCTTCCACCCTGGCGTGCTTTGGGTTATAATTCAGCAAAATGCACTTACCTAGGTTCCCCGTGTCTGTCCCTTACAGGAGACTAGCTTGAGAAGAAAAAATACCTGACTGCACTGAAAGTTGTTGGGTTCCCCACCCCCTCCACACACACTCACACACCTTCCTTCCCTCCCTCCTCTCCTGCACAACGCAGTGATCCTGCAAAGAGGATGTTTGAATTGGTGAATGACACCAAACCCCCTTCTCTGCAAATGAAGTCAGAGACACTGGTGGCTCTGACTTGCCACGCAGGACAACCCAACTGACCTGAAAAGAGAACAGGTAGAAAGTAGAGAGACTGGCTAGGGGTGTCTGGTAGTGCCCACCTTGGTGTCAGCTAGATTCTCTCTTGGAAGGAGAGAATGGGGAAGGGGGGTGGGGCCCCTGAGTCTTGAGACAGGGAGGGGGTGACACTGCAGCTGGAGTATTTTTATGTCTGGTAGCTGAAGGGCTTTGGGATTAAAAAAAAAAAAAAAAAGTAAGATCGTCATGTCAGCCATTAATACAATGACGACAAGATTAATTTCTTCTGAACAACTGAAAAGGAAGGAAAAAAAAAGTAGAACTTGAACAAATGTCCTCACTTCCTTCCATCCAATAAAGGAAATGTAGCAGAAACCAGAAACTTGCCTTTATGTGTGTGGGGGGGAGGGGTGACTCACAGAGAAAACCCTCAGCGCCCATTATAGGGTGATTGATACATTCAGATTTGTGTTTAATAAATATTGCCCCTATGTAAAGTCGAAGCAAAGATTCCTGTGTTTATCAATATAACTCTACTGAATGGAAAGTGTAACCCTATCAGTTAAACCCATAGAAATATTCAGAGAAGCAGAAAGCACTGACCACTATAATTATACTTACTAAAAATCGAGGATGGGGGAGGGCAAGCGTAGTTAGTGAAGCAATTAAAAAATTCACATAAAGTCCTTCCCTCCACTTCAACTACAAGCAAGATAATCAAAGGTTCTTCTCATAGCTCTCTTCCTCTGAAATAACCCCTCTAGGTCCAATTAACTGGCCAAGAGTTAATTTTCCTAATATCAGAAATGTGCTGTATAATGCTATGCCCATATTGAAATACCATGTCCAAGTTAAGGTGTATATGGTGGCATGGGTGATTTTGGATGTTGCAAGACAAAAATTTTAAATAAAATAAAGGTACCCTCAAAGCTTCAAAGACTGCACTCTTTTTAAAAAATCATATTTAGTGGTTAGGGTTCTGAAATATCTAGAACAATGCACTTTACGAAAGTCCTCCCTCACTCATGCAATTGCTTAGGATCATCTAAAAACACACTGACCTGAACAACCTTCCAAGGATGGGAGACGAGTGAACTTTCCCAGACCCTGCAGTAGTCAGGTTTCCTACAAGCTCTCTCTTAGATAAACATGTAAGATTTGACCTTCTAACTGGCACAAGTACGTGCCCAAAAGAGTTAACGGGAAGAGGGATTAGGGACTAAAATCCATATAATGTGCATTATAAACGAGACCAGAAGGAATGTAAAAAGGAAGGGATCTTTGACTGCCTGGGTTACATCTTAGTACTTCCGTTGCCAGTAGCATAATAACTAATAAATATGGTCAGGTATCTGAGTTTGAAAAGTAACAACAAGCCTGAGACACATCTGAAAAAAGAAATGCTTATTAAAAACAATCTTAGCATTTAGTTATCCGTGTCAAATAAAGAGAGTAACTTACCAGAGGAAATTTCAGGAAGCAAGATGCGTGTGGAGGAAATACATCCAGGATTCAAGCAGATATTCCATGGTCTTCCAAATCAAGGAAAAGTAGTGAGCTGCAGGGTGATAGGACTCAGAAATACTCAGCAGTTCCTGGTGGCATGTAACTCAGTGAAAACCAGTTGTGAACGCAGTGCTTTTTTTTTTTTTATTTAGGGTTGGAGGCTGGGAGCTTATTCGTGGTGCTCCTTGGGCAAACAAAAGTGAAAATTTACAGACTTTACAGCCCCAAATAGTGGGGGAAGCCAGAAGCTGTGTAACCCCAGAGAACGGGAGGTGAAGCACAGATAAATCTGCAGAGAGAAGTGAAAAGATGTGGTAGATAGCGAGATAAAGAGAGACCTATTGAGCAAGGCTGTAGTCATCCTTATAGATTGTAGCAGCAAGAATGATTTAGGCAGCTGGGCAAGATCCAATGAGAATTCAAGAGAGCCCTGCTTCGGAAATCCTGCACTCAACCCTTCCCACTCTCAGTTCGCTAAGAGTTACCTGCGCTGGGAACATTATAATCAGGTTTAATAGTATTCCATCAGAACATTCCGCTAGGATCTCCCTGGAACACTGAAGGAGGGGTGTCAAGAAAGCCCAACACAACCAGCACCCCCCCCCCCCCACACACACACACACAAACCACTACCACGATCATCGGTCACATTGTGATGACCAAATCATCTAAGATTTGGAGCATTGGGGGCTGGGGGACGACTTGAAAACGCAGATGTGACCGAGCTACTGTGCGCTTTGGGGGGCGCTGTGTCCGGGAGGCTTAGGCTAAGGAACCAGCAATTACCGTTCCTGGAAGGAGGGCTGAGGTGGTGGTCCTCCCACGTCCCACTACCCTGGTAAATCCTGCTGCCTGCAGCTTCTGCTCGGGGCAATTGACTTCCACCCGAAGCCTCAGCTCCAAATGGCTTGCTTTAGAAAGTGGGGGTTTCGGGCCATCGGAGGAACGGTGCCTGTCCCTGGGGAAGCAGGTAGCAGGCTCAAAGGCATCCGCCTTGGGTCTGATTCCTACACAGTTACATTTCTGCTAGCTATGTCCCTGAGAGGTTGCATAAACGATCACCTGATCGATCGGGTAAGACTGGCTTGATCCTTTCTCCCTTTTCCTCTCTGTTGGTCCCATTTCCTCTCCAAGCCCAAACCCACCGCCTCGCTCCCCCAACCCGACCCCCCCCCCCCCCGCTTCCCCACCCCCGCCCATTTGAAACTTACTTCCCCTAATTTATATGTTGACTGTGTATGCCACCCCCAACCCCTCCCTTCCCCAGTCACACTCCTCTCCCGTAAAATAAATAAATAAATAAACAAATAAAGACCTTATGCCCTCACTGCATTGCTTGGCTCTCGGGGCTGGTAATCTGTATCAAACATAAGTGTTTTGCTCTGCTCTAGCTGGATTTTCCTCTGGACCCCGAAGCTTAAGTAGTATGCATATCTTTTTCAGAAATAGAAGGAAAAGAGAGAATGGAAATTGATTTCTTGCAGAGACTGAATCGCCGAATGATAGAAGGGGAAAAAAAAATATTTGCCCTGAATGAAAAAAAATCTTCTTGGTAAGTAATCTTATTTTCTGCGGCTGAAACAGAAACACATTGCTTGTCCCTGCCCAACCCCCATCCCATTCATTTGTTTTCTCTCTGTATGTAAATCACGAGCTGGGTCAGTAACCCCCGTCCCGCCCCCCCCCCCCCCCCCCCCGCGCCCCGCTCCTTAAGAAAGGAATAGCTTGTGAGGGTGATTTTGAAGAAGGCAAGAGTTGGTAGAGTTAGGGGGGACGTGGGGGGCGAAGAGGGAGATGTTCAGGAGCTAGTATAAACCCTTTCAAGTCTTTCATAAAATCCCCCAAACAACGAAAGCAAGTTGGGCTTGCTTGTTGAAGGGGTATTTAAGAATCTCCCTTACTCCTTTACCATTTTTTTTTTTTTCTTCTAAAACTCCCTTCTAAAAATAGAGAAATTAGTTTTGAATTACTGGTCTCATGTTTATGCTTTTAGTATATTTTGGCTCTGTTTTTAAATATCATATTCTTTCAGTGATACAAATAAGAATGATTATTCCCACATTTTGCAGGTAACCGAAAGCAATATGAATCTCTTTCTAAACATGGATTTTATGTATGGCTTTTGCATCAGATACAAAATTAGTAGTTTTCCAACCTGCTATCTGCAGGTTGTAGTTCTACTATAAATTCATAAAGCCCTCTGGTTTTCCATGAGCTTATAGCACCCCCAGCCTGTTCTGCTCAGATTGTGAAGAGTGGTAGGTAAAAACAAACTAGCTGATTGTGCTTTTATATCATTCTTAAGTGTGGAGAATAACAGGATTTGCAAATCATGTGAGCAAGGTTTTCAAACATAAGCTGATCAATTTACTGTGAAAAGTAAAGTAGATTTTCTTCAAGGAAAAAAAAAACCAATGAAATTTTGAACCACTAAGTATGCCTTACTAGTCAGATATTTATATTATTTTTATTGTTGCTAATTTTATTATTACCATTTATCCTCCCAGTTTAGTAATGAAGAATGAGTTTATTGACATAAATTTTATTCCCAGAGCAGGAAAAAATAACATCACATCAGCAATTGCTGATGTGAAAATGCTTTTGGTAACAATAAACTTCATTTTAAATAAAAGTCCCTGAATAAAGGTAGTTAAGTGGCATGTTACAGCAGCAAGATAAAATATACATATTCTCAAGAATGTACAAGTTTTTATTACTATGAAAATTGCTAAGGGGTAAAAACATTTAAGAAGGACATGGTACTATAACTTTTCTTTCTTTCTCTCCTCAGGCTATATTGCAACCCTAATGATGAGCTGGAACAGAGGTTTTTATTTCCTGTTCCATTTTAGCAAGAAGATGGGTGATTTCTGTGTGTTTCTGTGTTGGAGGTGCACGTAATCAGGATCAATTGCTGAGTTATAATCATTCCTAAACTCACTGCAACAATTATGTTACCAAACATACTTCACATATGACCCTAATTGGCTACGTAGTACACCTTTGATATTCTAGGAAATGTAATTGGTTTGGGAACATCTAACCCGGTATGAATTAGAAAAGTGAGACATTAAAATTTTCATTTTATGTGTTTTTAAGCAAATATAAAGCTGTTGCTCATAAATATTTGAAATATAGAATTATGAAAAGAATAATGAGTTTCATATTTCTTGGTTCTGGAACCTTAAAATAGTTTGGAAAATTGAATGTTTTATTCAATAATTCAAATATTTGAGCAATAAATCATACCATTTGATTTCATCAACACCCTAAATTGTCACAGACTGTTTGTCTCCCAGTTGCCTTTCAAATCCTGTTTATTCATTGCCCTGAGAAGTTATGTATTTTGAGCCAGGTATTTGTGGTTTATGCTTGCAATCTTCACTACTCCAAAGTCTAAGATCTGACCAGTGACATCTTAAGCTAGTCTCAATAGAAAATCCATACAACTCTTATCTCCAATTAAACTTACCTCCAATCAAAAACAAACAAAAACAGAAATGCAAGTTTGGTTCAAGTGGTAGAGCACCAGCTATGAGCAAAAAAGTCAAGAGAGAGCATAAGGCTCTGAGTAGAAGCTCAAGGACTACTACACTCACACCCCCCCCCCACACACACACACAGAGTTAAACATTTTGATTTCATATGGAGAAATATTTTTCCCTTGTGATCACAGTACACACATGCAGGTAGACATTAATATAATTTGGTAACATTATCTTCTGCTCACTTTACATCTTAAGTATAGTCAATGCAAACTAAGACATTTTCTTTTAACTCATTAAAACCTTAACTCTAAAACAACATTTGATACATAATAGGGGTAGAGTGATAGCTCAGTAGTACAGCCCATGCCTAGATTTTCACCTGACCATGAGTTCTATTCCCAGAGCTATAAACACATACACATATAAAGAAGTAATTACAAGATACGACAGAAATTGGAAAGCAATGTCCTTCAGATGCTAAATACTATGAACATGATTTAGATTTCATTTTGCTGTAAATCTGTTTTATAACAGAAACATGAATAAATTCAAATTATTCTTTGAATATAAGAAATACGTCACACACATTTATGCATATATGATTACATCATTAAATATTAAAATTGATTCATTTTAATCTATATGCTTAGGTTTTTGTTTTGTGTATAGATATTTTGAAATTGTCTAAAATTTTATTAATTACCTAGGTATTTAAGCATCTTCACAGTTTTCTTTGTAAGAACAATAGATAGCAAAGGCTAATACCTCAAATGAATTTCAAATTATATACATTGAAAGCTGGAGGTGTAGCTCAGTGGTGCAGCACTTATGTAGCATATTTGAGGCTTTAGTTTCAATCCCCAGCTCTGAACAAAAAATTCTCAAAGACAAGTAATATAGGTTGCACCTTGAGAACATTAAGGATCATTTAATCTGAGGATTAGAAAGATGGAATGGTTGGTATAATCATACACCAACTAATAACCTAAAAATGGAGCTTTTCTGTCTTTTTAATACTCATTCTAAATTAAGTAAACTCTATTCTTAGCTCCTTAAACAGACATCTTTTGAGACTAGATAGAAAATAAGTGAAAGAAACAAAGTAGCAGAAAGTGCCTTATTTTGGTAAGTACAAACATTCTTTATTATTACTGCTTGGGAAATTCTCTCAGTGTTCTTTCTGTACATGAACTAGGTGGTTCTCTTGACAATTTTCCCCTGCCCCCCCCCCCCAAAAAAAATCCCTAGAGATTAGTCCATTCAGATGCAATATCACATCATCACTTTACCACTCTGTTGTACTTGTTAAACTCTTCATCAAGGTATAAAATAAGATTATCCTAAAAAGAAAGATGGTATATCGTAAGTTTTAATAAACACCTAACATTTGATATTTTATACACACACATAAACACACATTAAAAAAGTTATGTAGCGACTAAGACAGGGATGGTAACATATTCAAAAATATTTTATGTTTTATTTTTTTAAGCTTTTAATTAGAAATAAAGCACAAGACTTTAGTCAGGTAAAGATATTAAGTTTTGATCCTAGCACCTACCTACTCAGGAGGCTTTGATCTAAGGATTATAATTGAAAGCTGGCCTGGTGGGAATTTTTGAGATTCTTAC